TCTTTCTACACATATGAACTGATTAATACAGGTTGTCATTCCTTATGGCTTTATACTTTATATTTCCTACAACTAGGGATATTTTGTTACATAGCCACAGTGCAGTTATCAAGTTCAGGAAATGAGCATTGAAACTAAAGATTTTTATCTATTCTACCTTCCATATTCAGATGTTGTCAATTATTTCAGTAATATCCCCTTGAGTACACGATCTGGTCTATTATCATGTATTGTATTTCCTTTGGCACGCCTTCTTAGCCTCCTTTAATTGGGAACAGTTCTTCAGCCTTTCTCTTTTATAAAATTGGAGCTTTTGAAGAATATGGGTCATTTTTTTAAAAAAATGGGATATTTCTTCCTTGGGGGTTATCTGATGTTGCCTCATAATCAAATTCAGATTGTATATCCCCAGCTGTCATACAACAAAGAATGTGTTGTCTCTTTTTCAAGGTATCATACACAGAGGTGCACAGGTCCACCTGACTCTCACTCATAATTAAATTTGGTCACCTGGTTAAGGTGGTGTCCTATTTATCTGCTGGGTTGTTACTATTTCCCCCGCTAATCAATAAGCTTTGTTCCTCATCATTTCCAGTCTTTGGGAATACAAATAAAACAAAAGTGATCATGGAGAATCCAGAAGCATAGCCCAAATGGCAAAGTATCTTGATGATGTGAAAAGCCATGGCAGTTATGCTGAATGGGGGCCTTAGACTTGGCAAATGTATCTATGTGCATTCACTTTAATAGACTATTTTTTAAAGCAGTTTGTGGTCTACCACAAAATTGAGCAGAAAGTGTAGCATTCCCATGGACCCCTGCTCCCACAAAGGTGTAGACTTGCATGTCAGTTTCATCCCAGAGTGGTTCCATGTTACAATCAATCAGCAGCAGCACCCAGACTCCATAGTTTGCAGTGGGGTTCACTCTTGGCATTGCATTGCACATTCCAAAAGGGTGTGTAAAACGTCAAGGTAGATAGAGTATGTGTTTGCGGTGCCCAAAATATTCAGGGCTATTATTTTGCTAAATTATTTTATAAGAAACACATTTTTTTTGTATTTTGCTTTTAATTTCCTCTCTTCCTTTATTCCTTTTTGTAATGATTATATCTTTATAGTTTACTTCACTTTAAGGTCAGCTTTTAATACCATGTCAGCGGAGAGAGAGAAACTGAAGCAGCTGATGGAGCAGGAGGTCTCCGCCTCCCCTTCTGCTCAGGTCATTGGTCTGAAGCACGCCCTGTCATCCGTAAGTTATGTCTGTGTCACAGAAGCGCCTGAAAATGTGTCTAGGCTTATGAACTTTTTATATCTTGTGTTTTCATGGTTGTGTTGAAAATTCAAGAGAAACCCAAACAAAATACTCAAATTATATTCTAATCTTTCATCTGATCTACTTATTTGAAACACTAAGACTTAGCTTAGCTCAAATTTTATTGTGTTACATTCTTTGTTTGGTTTCCTCTGATTCATCTTAATTTTTCTGTTTTTATAAAATCTTTATTGTATGTTTGTGTGTGTGTATTACAGACATTGGTTTAACACTTAACAAAGTATGGGGCCAGCAGGTGTTGTGGTGGTTAAGGCACTGGACTCCCATGTGGCTGACTGCTGTTTGAGTCCCAGACCTGGCAGCTTGCTTTCTCACGTTCCCTCTCTTTCTCTCTCTCTTTGTCAAATTAAAAAGTAATCACAATAAGTAAGATTAAATGAAAGAATTCTTTTTAAAAATATTTACAAAGTATATGATAGCTGAGGGACAATTTTATGTACCCAGCTTAAACTGACTTTCCAAATGACAGGTAGCAGAGAGAAATTTCCTATTCACACTGTTTATCTTCTTTACTGCAAAGCACTGATCCTATTTACTGCTCTTTCAAAGACGTGAGAATTGTTTTATTTGCTTAGATAGTACAAAACATTTAGCCCCCCTGCCCCAAATAGGCACCAAGAGATGAGTCATACAGAAATATCTGTCAGGTAATCACTGTGCTTTCATAACAACAGAAAAATAACTGTCAAAGCTGCAAATGTTTTTTCAGCAAGACATTCTGTCATACACTTTCTCTCTTTTTTTGTCAGTTTCAAATTTATTTCTCAGAATAGTTGGGCTTCATTGAAGAGCCATGTCCTAACCCTATTTGCATAGCCCTTATCTTGTATGGATTAAGAAGCAAGAGAACATTTGAAATAGCATACTCATTTGCTCTTGTTCTTCACACTTTGGAATTTCTACTTTTTTTTTTTCTTTTTTTTGGAGAGGTTTTTGCTATAGGGCCCGTGTGCTCGCCAGACAGAGAGAGACAGAGAGACAGAAAGTAAGAAATCACACCCCTGGGAGTGATGGCTACACTGCAATCCCTTCTCCTCCATTCTCCTCTCGGGATCTTGGGCACACATGCACACGTGACCGATGTGAGTTTAAGCCACTGGGTCCAGGACTTAAACCATGGTCAACTTTGTGTGAGTCCAGTGATGTAACCATTACCCATATGCTGGTCCCTGCAATTTCTACTTTAAGAAGAGAAAGA